ATCATAAAACTTAAAGGTTTCACAATATTATATCTATATTCTTAGAATAATTAAAATAAAAACTTAAAAAAACCGACTTCCAGGCACTAAAATGTAAAAAATAACTAAACGGGGCTTTTTATTTAGAATAGATACCTAATCAGATATTTTCGAAGTCGGTGTCGACGCGGAAGCGCACAATATTTTAAGACATGAATATCCAATAGGTAAATATGTATTTTACGTATCAAAATATTTCCTATGCGTCAGCTGGCACAGACTTTTTAAAAAAGTTTTTATTTTTATATTTTTAGTGTAGACGTAATAAGCAGGTAATTTGTAGGAAGAAAGTTTTGAATAACATATTCGATTAAACAATATGCTTAAAAAAATATTTATTGTTGATTTTTTTTAAAACCGCTAGACAGATTTCGATAAAATTTATATAGGACCACCTGGAAAGTATACCCTTTCAAACAAAACAAAAATTTTCCAAATCGGTTCAGGCGTCTTCGAGTAATCGGTGAACATACATAAAAAAAAAGATTCCGACGAATTGAGAACCTCCTCCTTTTTGGAAGTTGGTTAAAAATAATACATACATTCTTATATATATTTGAATTACTTACGATCATCTTCCGATTATCTGTTGCACATATATACTATACAAAAAAATCTGGATATTCTAACCCAAAGCTCTAAGCAAAGCTTTTTACAGTCTACAGGGTTATTATTATAAGACAATGATGATGTCTTCCTGACCAAATTCGGCCAATGTGGCAAACAACCAACTAACCAACAACAGAGACTAGCCAATTACTGCGCAGCAGATATTATAGAGTACAAGTGTACGCGCAGGCACCAGTGGACTCTGTATTTCTTGCAATCTCAAATTTCGATCGGATGATAATTTGATACGATCGGTGAGAGATCATCAGGAGGCAGGATCGGCTTTACTCTCCGAAGCACGGAGGTGAAATATCGCCAACTTCCCAGCTCAGGGCGATTACTGGGACTTTCTTAACAAAAAGACTAAAACCGCAGCCGTATTTGCTAGATAATACATCACTAAGGTTTGTAATAATATAAAACAAATTCTGACGGATAATAAATATCACTTATTTTCCCTTTTATTAGACTTCAAAAACCTTTTAAACAATTTCATTTTTAATAATATTCAATGTTACTGATGTCGTTACAATTTTATTATGTATGTTTAGAAAGCTTTATTAAAAGCTCTTTTTACGTCACACCGTCGCATTGACTTAAACACGAAATACATTTTAGGATAATTTCATTCGAATACAAAAAGACGGATAGATTGAAGTTAAACCTTGATTGATGTTTGTTATAATACATTTTAAAGATATTTATATAAACCAATTTTGATTGGAATATTTATGAGTTGAACAGGTGTTATTTATTTTTGTAGTAGTGAATATTTTGTACTAGTTAAAAAAACTTCGACAACAACGCTACGCTTAGGTGTTAATTTTTACGCAGTCTTGTATACGTTTTTTAGGACTAAAATATAGAATACTAAATTCACAATAGAGTGTAAAGCTACATTAAATAAAAATCTAATAAAAGAGTTTTACTTTTTTTTTTATAATTTAAGATTAATTAGTTATAACTTGCTGTTGGTAGTGTTATTCTTTTGTTATTTTTTATTCTTTTGTTGTCTTTGAGATAATTTTTGTTTTCACAATAATTAATGTAATATACTTGGGTTATTTTAAAATAATTAGGTTATTTCTGACGAAAAAAAAGATATGACATACGGATCTCACATCTGGTCTTTAACGGACGCTCGGATGTCGAAACTTAAAATTTGCCAACATGCAATTGTAAGGTTGCATTTTTATATAGTAAGCGTTTTAATGGAAAATAACATATTAGATTAATTTGTAATGATTTATGTATAAGGCATTTAGTTATGTGACTTTGGCCGAAAGAAATGTGTTTTAAAAAAAAATAAGAAAAGGGCGCGGATATTCATTTGTTTTCCCGCGCTTTTGCATAGAGATGTCGGTACCATCATGTAGGTCACTACGAATTGTTTGTAATACTGAAAATTATGATTATAAATTATGTAACTCACTGATGATTATAAAAGTAATATCTCACAAGCAAGAAATATCTCGCAAGCAAGAAATATCTCACAAGCAAGAAATATCTCGCAAGCAGGGAATCTCGAAGTTTTATTAGGGATCCTACACAATGAAGCTTAACATTTTAGGTCATAAATTAGCTGACAAAGTTCGAAACGCTATACTACGGTCCAAACCAAAAATCACTATCATCGCTCACAAAATCAGAAAACTTAAATGGGATTGGGCTAGCCACGTCTGCCGTATGCCCGAAGAACTGTGGGCTAGACAGCTAAAGACCTAACAAAGAACAATATTTCTATTCTTATACAAAAATATTATAAAGTATTTGCAGTCTCAATAAAATACAATTTTAATGTAATTTTAATTTATTAAATAACTTGTGACCTTTAAGGGACGATCATACTATTTGATCTAAATCATAATATATTCATAAGTCAGCTATGTTTATTATGTCAACTGAGTTTCCACCCAAGTAACATGTCGGTTAAACCACCTAAGTAAGCTTTCTGTTAAATAAACATGGCATTTATATCGTAAAATATTATCGTATAATTATTAAATGTTAATTTTACGTAATATTTTACTGTTATGGTGTATATTTTACCTTTACTTATATATCAAAAGATAATAAGATAAAATAAATAGACGCAATAGGTAACTGAACAAATTAATTCTTGTTAAATAATAATACAATTAAATATTATTATTATTGACATAATTTTCTATTTTTCTTGATTATTGCTATTTATCTATTTGTCTATCAATTTCTTTTATGTTCTTCGATTTTTTTTTGTGTTTAAGCTTTAAAATTATCTGTACCATTTTTTTAATGCCCCGTTGATATGTTATGGAATATTTAACTTTAATTTTTGGGTTTCACAATTTTTTTTTGCTACAAGAATATTAGGTTCAGCTTTTACGCAGAGTAAGTAGACATTTAATCTGCTTTCTGTGAAATACTTTCCCAAAATATTTTACTGAACTGCGAGCGTGATATGAGTTTTTAATTCAGATTTACTACTTGTAAAACTTTCAGAAGAGATATTTAGTTATGTAAGTTCTCTCAGACACGCTGGTAGTCTCACGATGTTTGAAGTTATTCACACATGAAAATTTCAGGGGTGCAAGACCCAAGATTTGGAACCCGGTTTACTCAGTTTCTGAAAGCGAGCGCGTACCGCTGAGGTACCACTGCCATATACTTGTCCACGCTCATACACCCAGAATTCCGTCGCATTCGGATAAATGGTCTAGAAATGCATATTTTACCAATAAAACAGACATATATTTATACTTTTTATATATAGTACGTCATATTTTTTTATATATAATCATTGGTTATTAATAATTCCTGCACAATAAGAAAGTTGCAAAATAAAATAAATTTAAACATTTAAAAACCTACAACAAAATATCGCGGTATCCTTTTCTGTAAAAGGAAGCTTATGTTACTGTCGATCAAGACTTTTACCCTCCTGTGAACTTAAGTTAAAATCAATTCAATTGTCCCTCACACTAGAATGGGCTATCTGGCAAATATTTTAAAATTCTACTTTTAATTTTCCTTTTAAAGTCTTCCAAATACTGTAGGATTTGAGATTAGTGTCAAAATCCAATTTATATCATGTCAGATTTTTCCTGTTATACAAAGGTATAAAAAGTGACTTAAACGTCATTATGATGATTACGATCATTAAAGACGTAATTAGTCTGAAATAGAAATAGGATTTAGTCAAGCTTATAATTTTGTAGGAAAACCTTATATAATTTTGAAAAACTTTTTGCAAAACAGTTTTCGCATTATATTTTAAGAGATCCTCGAGCAAAAGGCTTATATGGAATCTTTATTTTTTACCCGACTGCGGCGAAGCCCAAAGGAGGTTTATGTGTTTGAACTATATGTACGAGTATGTCTGATCCTATTGTGCTTTCGTAATAACAAAACGGGTTAACCGATTTTGATGATTCATACGTCATTAGATTAGTCTTCATAACGCGAGTGTCTTATGATATATAGAAATAAATAAATATCGAAATTGCTAATTTCAGGCTCTAATTTGCATGTCTATTAAAAAATTCTTGCAAATCTATCGTGATTGATAAAATAAAGATTTTTAAGAAATGATCACAAAAATATACATTTCATATGTTTAAAAGTAATTTGGTAATTCAAGTAATCGTCTACATTCAATATTTTTTTGAATATAAAAATATAATCGTAGGCAGTGTACGTAAATTGTAAGTAAGGGTAAAAGGGTTATCACAGCTCAAATAGATTTTTTAGAATTTAAATCAAAGAAAATAATTATATAATATTTTGTATATTCTATGAACAGAATACAGTTTATCCCAGCTAGATCAGTTAAGCCGTCTCCGACAATTCGCTATAAGATAATATTTCGAACAAAGTACTTATCTCCTCCTTTTTAGGGTACCGTACCTCAAAAGGTAAAAAAAAGAACCCTCATAAGATCAGTCTCTTGTTCGTCTGTCTGTCCGTGTGTCACCACCGATTTTCTCAGGAATAGGTGGACCTAGCAAGTTGAAATTTATACCAGATATTGAAGTCTTTAGTCACTATTGGGTGTATAAAATTCAAGGTCCTGAGTCAACACGTTAAAAAGATATGGGCTAATTTAGATTTTTGGCGAAAACTTGTACAAAGTAAAAATTCCAAAAAAAATGTTGAAAATTAAAGTAAACACATTTCCTACAAAGTACGGAACCCTCGGTGTCCGGATTTTTTGAAGACAATTTAAATAATATTTTAAAATAGTGTCACATTATATACGTAATACTTAATTGGAATAAAAATACAAAGGTTATTTCATATCTCATTAGCAGCGTTTTGTTTCAGATCAGTAACAAAGGTGTTGTGTAATCAATATTGACTGCGTATGACGAAACATGGGGAGCGCAGGCAACAATACCACATCATATGATGGCGACATTCTTAATCCAAGCGAGCTCAGTCTATCAAGAGAATTCAGCGATGTAATGAATATGGATATGTGGCCCGTAGAGAAATGTTTTGAGGAACATTTAATAAATAGCACATTAAGTGCTGATCTAACCAACCACATTTTTGTTGTCAACGGTACTCAAGTCGTATGCTTGGAACATGCACCAGTTTTAACTAGAAATACCATCATTAGAGCAAGTATTCTATCTGTTATGGCACTGTTGTCTTTTGTTGGGAATTTTGCTACTATGATAAGTGTGCAAAAAGGAAAACGATGTCGCAGACGCGCGAGGCCATCATGGACAGCCATATACAGTCTGATATTTCAACTCAGCATAGCAGATTTACTTGTTACTTTATTTTGCATACTTGGAGAAGCTGGCTGGTCTTTTACAGTACAGTGGTACGCGGGAAATATCGGATGCAAATTGTTTAAATTCCTACAAATGTTTGCTTTATATCTGAGTACATTTGTATTAGTATTGATTGGTGTAGATCGGTGGTTGGCAGTGAAATATCCGATGAAAAGTATGGGCACTGCTACTAGAAATGGCAGACTAGTAATCATCGCTTGGGTTTTAAGCTTCATTTTAAGCATACCTCAGGTCAGTTTATTTATAAAATTTATACTTATAATCAAAATATCTGTAAAAACTTCACTTTTTAGGGATTTTAATCATTTTAAGTACCTTGTTACACGTTCTCCTTAACACTTGAATTTTAGATAGTGTGGTTGTGTTTTCTTACAAAAAAAAACTTATTTTCGGTCTTTATTATAAGATCTAGATCTAGTTTCCTACCAGTCAAATATTTTTTGTATTCGAACTATAGTTATAGAAATTACATTCAACATCTAAATACTTACAAACTTTACCTCTGTATAGTATTATGTTATCCTTTCCTTTATCGACTTTCAGCACATGACAGCTAATCTCACTAAGATTAGGTGTTACGTGTTCTCCGAGGAAAAGGGGTGCTATATCTCCAGCTTGGTAACTTTAGGTTGTTAAACATATGTTTGTGGTAGAAAAAAAAAACAAATTTTCTTGAACTTGAAGCCACGTGACATTAGGCTATTGTGAAAACATAAAAAATATCGATATTTCATTGTATCTGAAACTTAAGCACTAGTATAGTATTATATGTATGATCTGTGCTTAAGCTTCACCTCATGAATAATAAAAACTACAGAATATATATTATATAATTTACTCATAGACCGGATGTTTTCAATCTTAAAATTCCTATAATATTGTACAGATCCTTTCCATTGGGAAATCCGACTGGCGTTGAACCTATTTATTTTCTTATACGTTATTTAATATAGTGTACTAATTTCTTGATTCTCTTTTCCAAAATATTATTAAAGTATAATCAACAAACATTCTTAATATTTAAAAATATATACTATTTTTTATTGCACTTAGAAATAAATACAGTAATTTAAATACAATTTTTTTTGGAATATATAATATATAAAATATTATTATTAATATTTATCACTTACCATTCTTAAAGACCACTAAAAGTTTACGCTACGATAAGATAAGGTTTTGTGCAATAAAGAATATTTATTACCTATATAACACTAGCACTGCCCGCGACTCCGCCCGCGTTCAGATGACCAAAAACTAAATTCTTAGGTGTTACATATTAGTATACTTCTACATTGCAGTTTTTGTATTTTTTCTCAAAAGTGAGACAATTTCTCTCGGTAAAAAGTATCCTATATGTTGACCCGGATAACCAGCTATCACTATACCAAATTTTATCAAAATCCTTCCAGTGGTTTTTCTGTGATGCGGTAACAGACAGACAAAAATTCTAAAAACTATAGATTCGGTCTCTGTATAGATAATAATGTTTATTTCAATAAGATTTTCCAAAAAAATATCTAACGTACAGATTCCGCTAAGTTACAATTTTATTAGGTATATGTATAGATAAGAAATATTTGCATGATATTTTCATATGAGAATATTTTCTAAAGAATTTCCTTTATTTTCAGGTAGTAGTCTTTCGATTAGCAAAAGGGCCATTTATTGAGGACTTCTATCAGTGTGTCACCCACGGATTTTATACTGAAAGATGGCAAGAACAAGCGTATACCACAATGTCTCTTGTTTTTATGTTCATTCTTCCGTTGGTTATTTTAATCTCTACGTATGTATCGACTGTGCGAACCATTGCAAGTATGTAATTTTTTTTATATTAAATTAAGACTTTGTATAAAACATATACTAATAATCTAATCTAGGATATCATAACTGTCTCGGTGATGTAGTGGTTAGCATGTACGGCTGCACACCGGAGGTCCTGGGTTCGAGTCCCGGGTCGGACCAAGTTTAGTTATTGAGTCTTTCTGTATAGTAAGCCTCAGTAATACCCCGGAGTTGGGAAATTGTGTTTCACCCCCGTGCCTCAGAGAGCATGTAAAGCCGTCGGTCCTGTGCCTTAACTCTTACCGGTCATGAGTAGTCGTCACATCGGAGTATGAGTGCGCAGGAGATATTATAGTGCACACTTGTGCACTATAATATCTCCTGCGCAGATAGCAAGTCTCAATGAGATTGGCCGCCATGGCCGGAATCGGTCTACTGTTATTATTATTATTACTATTATCATAACTTAAATAAAAATCTATTTTAAAACCATATATCCGTCATGGCTGCAGGATACACAGGTTTAACTTTTTTACTTACAACTTAAGCAACAAAAGAAATTACACCTCATTTATATTCACTTCAGTGAGTCGACTCTACGAGAAATCGTTTTAGTTTCTAAATTTCATTTGAACAATGTCTCAGGTAAGAGCTCAGAAATAATATGTGTTCTCAAATAAACCATTTTGTTATAAAATCTGCTCCGTTTTTTATACCCGTGGTTGGGTTTAAAATTAAATCCTTTAATAAAGGTGTCAAGAGTATTTTATACCTATTGCAAATTATTATTAAAAAAAAAACAATATTATAATTTGGAAAATATGAAAGAGTTTTGTTTTGAAAGATATTACGATCACAAAATTTACGATCATAATGAGAATGCGTATGATAATAATTACGAGTATAAGACTAGGAATTTGCTTTAGTCTATATACATGTCATGTAGATATAGTAATTTAATTACGAGAAAAAAGAATTATTATAATAATGAAGATGGACAATATAATCGGGCTTGTGAACATTAGAAAGGCATCGTCTGTGAATTTTATATCTGTACTAGCGGCTCACCCTCGTTTCGCTCGGGTTCGCCTCTAGAAAAACAAAACAAATCTATCCCTCGGGAATCGTATATTTTTCCGGGATAAAAAATAGCCTTTGTATTATTCCAGACTATAATCTAGTGCCAAATTTCATCCAGATCCGTTCAGCCATTATGGCGTGACAGAGTAACAAACATACAATCCATACTCACAAACTTTCACTATTATAATATTAGTATAGATTTACATGAATGAGCAGTAATTTTCGTCGAGAATACAAAATTAAAGGTAATCTTACCATAACATTTTTAAGGGATTCAAAATATAACTTTTGAAATTATAGTAAGTCCAATGTCGGCAAGCCAGAGGTGGGGGACATATATTGTTTCCCACCCTGTAGATGTAAGTTCCATCACGTCGCACTCATCAACAGCTTCGCCTGCAACATATTGGCCTGTGGGTTAATTATTATTATTATAATCTGTAAAAATAGTTGTAGTTTATTAACTAAAACTATTTTTACAGATTTCAATTTGAATTATTATTCAAATTAAAAATTATTAAAAATAAAAGTAATAATTACTGTTAAGTTAATAACGCGATCCACAACTTCAATTTTTAGTTTTATTATATATAGTTTTAAGCTTTCACACTATATTTTAATGTTTTTAACATTATATAATTTCGCACTATGTCAATCTTCATTTATTTCTTTCATACAGAATTAACAAAAATATTTTATTAAGATACAACTACAGATTATAAAAACCAAAGAAGTTGTAATCCAGCAAAACGATACATCATTAATTCAACAATTAAACCCTCCTAAAATAGTTATATTATCGAAAAAAACGTACTGAATGTACGTAAAAAAACTAACTGGATGCAATTTAACATCAGTTTAAAATTCCATCAATATTGCTATAGACGTAGAAAGTAAAGCGTCGAATGTAAAAAAAAGGGTAGCTACCTTCCTATGGGCTCCCCGAGAAATTTTGCAACTGGATCACCAGCTTTTTGGCCGATCGGAGCATTAAGGTCGTTGTCGACGGTGCTTGCTCTGATCCTAAATATGTCAATGCTGGTGTTCCACAAGGCTGTGTACTGTCTCCTACTCTGTTCCTTCTGCATATCAATGACATGTTGCAAATCAGCAATATTCATTGCTATACAGACGATTGCACTGTGGATGCGCTGTACACTGGCCGCGCTAATATTTCTCGGGAATACGTCGACGAGAGCCGGAACAAACTTGTGTCTGAAGTCGAATCTCTGTTAACCAAAGTCTCGGATTGGAGTCGACTAAACTTAGTCCAATTCAACCCCAAAAAGACACAAGTTTGCGTGTTAACCGCTAAAAAGTCGCCATTTATCGTAGCTCCTCAATTTGAGGACACTCCTCTGTATCCCACAGCCAGTATCGGAATACTTGGCGTCGACATCTCGAGCAACGTCCAGTTCCGTGGTCAATTGGAACGTAAGGCCAAACTGGCCTCAAAGAAGCTTGGTGTGCTCAGCAAGGCGAGACAGTACTTCACGTCGCGTCAGCGTCTTATTCTTTATAAGGCGCAAATTCGGCCCCACATGGAGTACTGTTCTCATCTTTGGGCGGGAGCTCCCCAGTACCAGCTACTTCCATTTGACCGCATTCAACGTAGGGCGATTCGAGTTATCGACGATCAAGCTCTCTCCAATCGGCTTGATCCTTTAGCTCTGCGTAGAGATGTTGGATCACTCTGCATCTTCTACCGCATTTATCACGGGGAGTGTTCCGAGGAATTGTTCGGACTGATTCCGGCTGCTGAATTTCACCATCGGACATCGCGCCAAAATAGTAAATTCCATCCACACCACCTCGATGTCCAGCGTTCTACAACAGTGCGATTTTTAAGGCATTTTCTGCCCCGCACAACCACTCTGTGGAACCAGCTATCGCCGGCGGTCTTTCCGAACCGCTACGACCTGGCCACCTTTAAGAAGAGAGCGTATTCTTTCCTTAAAGGCTGGCAACGTATCTGCAAGCCCTGCGGTTTTGTGATCACTTTCCATCAGGTGAGCCTCCTGCCCTTAGTCCCATAAAAAAAAAAGCTTTAATGCTTTTTAATTAGAAGTGTTAGTAGGTTTAGTTATGAAAAAAACTAACTATAACATATTTTACTATTGAACTTAGAAATATCGAAAAATATTTTAAAACTTTTTATTTATCTTTCTATCGTGGGCTAGAAACTTAATAAGAAAAAGGAAATAGCCGTCTCCGCTCAAGAAGCTTTTTTGTTCCTCAGAAATAACATAATTTTCCATTAAAGAAATAATATTTTATTCCAAATATGCTTTTTTGTGTTACAGAGATTATTTTTTTACGATTTACGAAAATAAAATTCTTGGTATATAAAACATCAAAGTATAAAATAAAATCATGTTGTTTGATCTGGAGATATTTTTATTTTTAGAAATCTTTTTATAATAATATTTAGTATAATTTTTTTATATTTTGGTGTAATATACGTTAAATATCTGAAATAAATTCGAATCGTGTATTTGCATAAATCTTGATTTAAATGAGGGTTTAATGTATTTCCTATTTTTCGTGAAAATTTCATTAAATGTTTTGATAGCCTCATTTGATTTCATTTATTATAGATACAATATGATTATTGGATATCGTACCTCGAAATGAAAACGATTTTTATAGAGCCACTTCGTTTTTTGAAGTTGCTTGTCATCGTTGTTCGTGCGTAAAGTGTTTTCTTAAAGAAAAAAACCATCCTTGCCACGATATGTATCACCTTGTCGTAGTAGGGCCACATTAGCGCCCGGCAATCCAGCCGGGCTAGAACCTAAGAAACACGCTAGTGGGTGGCCCTGGTACTTCTGTAATAAAAGTGTAGACCGTAGGAGTAACCGTGGTCAACTCGGTAGGCCAGCCGTCAGGGTGTCGTGGTTAAGTGCTTTAGTGATCTTGCAGCGACATATTAAAACGGGGAAGATTCCGTTAGGTTTTGGTGGGTTGTATTAGTTTCTCTGAGACCCATATAACTACATGTATATACGCAGGTCATATGCGTAGTTGCATGTTCAAATATTTAAAAACATACTGTGTTGCTTTAGATCTATCTGTGCACTAAATTTCATGCAAATCCGCCGCGCTGTTCAATGCTAAGGAATAACAAACATACGCACAGAACAAACAAATTTGTGGTATCTAAACTAAACTCACAGAGTTAAATCCTTACGATTTTATGATCCAGCTTTACACGCTTGACCTAGAATAATGAAATTTGCAGAAAATACGAACAAAGAAAAAATTGTTTACATATAGTTAAGTAAACTATGTACTATAAAAATATTTTTGATTGTTATAATGTTATTAAACAATGCTATTAAAATTGTTGATGTACTCCGTTATTTAGTGTAATTAAATTTTTTGTCGCTCACTACACCCAGCAGACTGTCTCTATTGAAAAAAAAATGTCCATCATCTATAGGTATTAGGTACTAATATTACAAAGAGGCAGAGTTTGTTCGTTTGAACCGGCTAATCTCAATAATTTCTAATGCCATTTGAAAAATTCTTTTTGCATTATTAAAGAGCCCGTTTATTGAGGAAGACTATAGGCTATATCTTTATATATATATAATTCTTCTGTGAGTGTGTATGTCACTGAACTTCTCTCAAACGACTGGACCGATTTTGATGAAATTTTTTGTGTGTGTTCAAGGGGATCTGGGAATGGCTTAGATTCACAATTTGAATAATAATTTTCATCAAAAAAATTATTAAAAAATGTTTGAAATTTTCAAATTAAAGACGTGTAGACAGGACAACGACTGTCGGGTCCGCTAGTATCATATAATATACAGTCGTAACTATTCCATACTAACCGTTAATATTTTTATACAAATTTAAAATAATTTTGTTATTGCTTTTAGCTAGTTATTTTTAAATTCAATAATTCTTTACAGAAAGTAAGAAAGTGTTTCAACCGGAGGTTACGAGACAAGAGAAATACCTATCTCCAGATATGAACCGACGTAGACTTATTGATAGAGCTAAAATGAAGTCTCTAAGGATGTCTGTTGTAATCGTTACCGCTTTCATTATCTGGTGGATGCCTTATTACGTAATGATGATTATTTTCACGTTCTCAAATCCCGATAAAAATGTAAGTAAAGTTTATGGTATAATTTTATGTAACAAGTATCTAATATATTATTTAATACTCTGGCATAGAGATAGCGTAAAGTTATGTATATATTATGTTTTATTTTCTACTAGCACACAAACACAACAAAAACAAATCTATCCCACGGGAACCATACATTTTTCCAGGATAAAAGTAGCTTGCTTGTTATTCTGATGTGTGAACTATATTATTGTAAAGTTTCATTAAAATCCAATCAGTAGTTTTTGTATACTAAGCTTTATTATTTACTATAGTTTTTAACCACCCCACGGGAACTCTTTAACTTTCCGGGGTGAAAAGTATCTAAAATGTTGACCAGGGGTATGAGGTACCAGAATGCAAAATTTAATTAAAATCGGTCTAACAGTTTCGAAGATAAGCCCGTACAAACAGACAAACAGACAGAGAAACAAAAAAAAATGAAAAAATCTGTATTAGTTCTATTTCTCTACTTACATCCCCCTGACTCGGTTTTTAGCAAATTTTTTTCTATATACAGACATTTGACCTGTACAGTTTTATTATATGTATACATTTAATTTAATTCTGGTAAGAGAAGCTCAGAATAAATGAAGTTAGAAAGTCAAACTCTCTATTTTTGTTTACCTCTTTGCTAACATTGTGTGAAAGTTGCATTCAAAAGCTTAGGCAAGCTTTGCCATAAAAAATATCTATATACATATGATAAAATTGTAACTAAGTCGAATCTGTACATTAAATATTTTTTGGAAAATCTGATTGAAATAGACATTATTATCGACACAGAGTCCGAATCTATAGTTTTTAGAATTTTTGTCTGTCTCTCTGTTACCGCATCACGAGAAAACCACTAGACAGATTTTGATGAAATTTGGTATGATGATAGCTGGTTATCCGGGTCAACATATAGGATACTTTTAACTGCTGGAAAATATCTCATTTCTTAGAAAAAATACAAAACTGCAATGTAAGAGTATACTAATATGTAAAATCAAGAACTGCCGCGGGCAGTACTAGTTATTTACATATATTCTCTATAATATATGTATATTGCAGCAAAGCGAGGATCTACTGTCAGGAATATTTTTTTTCGGAATGTCAAACAGTCTAGTCAATCCCGTGATATATGGCGCCTTTCATTTGTGGCCAAAGAAAAAACGATCAAGGAATAGTGACAGGTAAAAAAAGAAAATATTATTATGTCTCTTTGCATACATATATTTTATTTTTATTGTACCTCTAACACTTTGTTGGCCTCTAATTGTGTTTCACTTGTGTACTTTTATCTCAATTACATCTCTTTCCAATGTTTTGCATATTTTAAATACAAAGTACTATAATTTAGTAGGCAATAATATATTTTTTATAAAAGTATGTACTGAGTCGTGAGTATTCTATTTACATTAGTGCTTGATTGAGATAAATATTGACAATATGTTATTCTCTATAATCTTATTGCTAGGTATCGATTATACCCCACTACGACCTCGTCATTTGTCGTTTCTTACAAAAAACATATTAAGTAGTAATCATAGTAATTCGGTAAATAAGAAAGAAGCAGTCACGAGGACTGCCGACAGACGTGAAAACTTAAAACTATAAACAAACGGTTGTTATTTTTGGATATTCAAATTAATTGTTTGATCTTAAATTAAGATTTGTTAATTAAAACTGTTTACATTTATCTGGTTTTGACATCTATCGGCACACTGAGTGCTACCATTAACACGTCACGTGACCATGTCGATGACGACCTACATGAATGTACTTCTTACTTCCCATCCAAGCCTGCCTATAGAAGTTTTCACTTCAAAAACTTATGTTGCTTTTCAAATAATGAAAATATATGATACAATATAAACAGACATGACAGACATAACAAAATATATATCAATGCAATATTTTAACAGTCACGTTGCCGTGTGACGTGCTCTAGTAATAGCATTTCGCGATGCTCACAATTGGAATAAAATATCGTCAATAATCAAATACTACCTTCGTTTCGCCGGCATTCATCTATTTTACATTTTAACGTAAACGAATTAAACACATGAAACCATCATAATATGTATATATTATTCCGGAATCCGCAAAAAAAAAATGGCGGTGGTATCCCAATGTTTCCTATATCTACATTGCCGAATATGTAATAATCATAAATATGAATGTAGTTTAACCTTAACATATTCTTATATTACAGGGAATCTGGTGGTCGCCACGCATCTTTACTACGACGTGGTGACCAAACATCATCAGTGAGGTTGACCACAATACGATCGTTGAGATCATCATCGAAATATTCCAATGGTCAAAACGTAAGTTTATTATAACCTATAAGTAACATTGGACTGAATCATTAAGGCGACGAAAAAACAAAAAAGAAATGAAAAACTATTACAGTGATATTTATAAACTAGTCATTAATGTGAAAGTGTTAATTAAAACCTAGTATTAGCTTACGAGCAATTAAAAGACTTTAAACCAAACATAATTTTATTTTAAAAAATAATATTTAAATTAGTATTCAAGATATTAATTTATTATATTTGTAATGTGTAATAATTGTAAATAAAGGTATTATTAAAATTAATACTATATTTTATTTTCCACCTTATTTAAATTGGTATACCTAATGTATATTTTAATGGTAGGTTAATCAATTTTTAAATAATTATAAAATTTTAAATAACTCATTGCAGGGAAAAGATTATTGGGCCATTTTAGTCGAATATTTTAAAAAAAAAATATTTGTTGTTCTTTGATATTTTGTTCCAGTAATAAAAGAATCTTGAGTCAAATCTGTAAAATATTTCATTTCTCATTATATAATATATAAACCTTGTTTAAACATGGAATATAATATGAAAATCTTATTAAAATAGAGATCTTACTAATTAATTATTAATATAATTATGAAGAAATTAGTCAAAACATAGGACTATCATGAATAACTTTATCATTAATTTTCATTATCTAATAAGCATTTGCTCGGCATGATTGTTATTATTTTCAATAGAAATGAGTAAATGTATTCAAAACAAAATTAGAAACACGTTAAATAAATTTGTATGTTTGAATTAAATTTCTGGTAAAAGATAACTTCAGTTATAGAAATTTAAATGAAGATAAATATTATTTTAAAATCTTTTCAATTTCCCTAACTTTGTTAAATATTATTAATATTTGTTACTTAGTATTTAATAAGGCCATTTTCACATGTATTTATTTTGACGTGTAATCTAAGCGTGTAATTATTACGTATCTAATAGAGAGCGTAAGCGAGCGTTATAATATCTGCAAATGGTATAAATAAAAAGGAAAATCATTTTAACATAATATTTTGTCAACTTGTGCAAATCAAAGTTTACATTTTACAAGCAATCGCAACTTTCCTAACGAGACTACTCTTGAACTGTGAAATTGACTTGATTAACATCGAAGTCATTTTAGGCTTATTCGCACTATGTACTTGTTCACAAATTCCATGTCTGCTGTAATTAGAAACTTCGAACATTCGAAGTAAATGAGGAATATATTTCTATATGTTGATACACATACATACACTCATATAGTACATAGTATGTGAAAAATGAAAATATTTTTGTAATAGTAATTATTGTCAATGGAGAAGTTTAGTTTTTTATGAATAAAAATTAAAATTTAAGCTAAACACAAAAAATAATAAATCTTAGGTTATCTCAAAAAATACGAATATATTATAAGCATTTAAAAAATCCTCAGTCTCAGCATTGGTAAATTATCACTTTATTCTTTCACAAAGCTTTTTTCAGTTTTAGTAAAACGTGACATTCAATTTAACGTTAAAAATTTAAACATTTTTTTTCAACAAAATTTAAAGTAAAATATGATCACATCTACTTACTACCTATTTTAGGAAACTTTTTCATTATGCAATTGCGTTGAACATTATTATGCTTAAAAAAGCTACTTTTATTTGTCTTTCAACAATTCGTATTTTTCTGTAAACCTAAGTTTTGAAAAGTTTTACTTAATCCTATCTAGAAATCTATTTTCAGCTTTCAACTTCAGCAAGTTAATGCCACTACCGGCAACTTTTGTTAAATCTTCCAGAAGTTTTATCTCGTACAGTTTTTGCCTGCGGCTTCATTCGCGTGGTAAGTGGAGGGCCCGTCCCCAAGATGTAATTTATGTCCCTGCCAAATTTTATCGAAATCTATTCAGCAGTTTAAGCATGAAAAGGTTCGAATTACTTTCATATTTATAATATTATTATGGATATTTACATATTTTCAAGAAAAACGATTATTTTTGGTGTGAACAACTAAATCGTAAATAATAACAAATTAAATTACAAATGTACTTTTTTTACATTTCGCCTTTTCCTATCATGAGCTGTCCAAGACAAGGATTAAATGATATAATATATATGGACAATTCTTATATTACTAACTTTGTAAATGTTACAATATGTAATCATTTTCATTCCTTTTAGCAATGAAGCATGTTCAATGTGATTTTTACACCATTTGATATTTTGACCGAAGAAGTTATATCAAAGTTTATATAAAAGAAGAAGGTAAGATATATATATATATATATATACATATATATATATATATATATATACATATATATAAATATTAGTTCAATTCAATATTGACACTAGTTTAATAACCGATGAAAGTACTGCCACCATTCGTTTTATTAAAAAAATAAATTTTTGTTTGTATTAAATTCTTTATGTGTACTATTCGAATAGTGTAACTCATAAAATTTAAATTAAAGCTGACACTGATAGTTCTCTTCATCCTTAATATGCATACGACAAACATGCCTGAACCGAGATTAACTTAACCCAACTCAAATAAATGAAACTCCCACGTGACTGTTGTCGCAGTAGAAACGTCTACCGCTATAACAATTTGTAAAATAATATTTTATGATAGTAATTCATACTATTTGCATAGTTTCAAAGATTTATTAAAAGATCACTATAAAGGCAAATAAAATCTTACCACAAAAATATATTGTAAAATTCCAGGACCTCAGTGTTTTTATGTACTTAGCATACTTTTTTGTTCTAAAGAAAATTAGCTTTTCAAAATGTTTAACTACCAAACCGACTCAATCTTACTATTTTTATTTCTTTCTTTTACTTTCTTTCGGGGCCCGCCATGGGAACGATGATGGCATCCATATCAAGTCAATACCGTTATAACTTTCGGATGGCAATGTCAGCCTGATAAATCTCTTCAGGACATGGCTTAGCTTGACTTGACTTGAAATGCTAGTTGTATAATAAAAAGTTGTAAAGGCATGAAGTAGTAGTAATTATATTCTTCATAATTACTTCAAGAGGTAAAGGTAAGGATATGACTTGTTTAGTAAAAAGTAAGTCTTCGATTCAACAGTCTGACTGAGGAAATAAAATTCTAACTAAAGCTATAAAAAGACAAAAAAACCTCAAAAGAACTTCGCCATTATACCATAAACTTAGCGTTAAATGGCTGAATAAATGAAAATGAATATTTTATTTTGCTGCGAATATTCGAAATGCTAGAGATTTAAACTATTAAATTTTATTCAATTTGTTTGAATAGTTGTATAAATTATTACACCACACGTAGTGTTAAGCCGGGGGGTTAAAAATTTGAGAACATGTAGCTTCCCTGTTCTAAAACAGTCGTGATCCTGTCTAAAGATAATAATAATTAAAAGTTAAATTTTACTTATTAAAATTTAACTGTTAATTATTATTTGTATGTTTTTTTTATTTTTTACATTGACTATACATAATTAAGTTTAGTAGATTTTATTTCTTTATTGTAGAAAATACTGTAGCACTTTGAGTAGAACACTAATTTTCGAGACATCTTTAATATACAATATACGGTAAAAACCGTATATTGTATATACCGTATATACCGTATTTACTACGAACTAAAAATAATATAAACAGAGTGACATAGAACTAAACACAAAGTCAAACAATAATGTTTTAAAAAAGCATACAAATGACATTTTTATACTGAACTACCGACTCACGCTCGCTCCGCTCGGGTTCGTCTCCAGATACGTTTTAACGGTTAGTACAGATTTCTGAGAGATGAGATATTAATCAATGAAATAAATCATCAATAAAAAGTATCCTATATGTTGACTTGGATAGCCAGCTATCATCATACAAAATTTCATTAAAATCTGTCTCGTATTTTTCTCGTGATGTGTTCCCAGAGAGACAAACAGACAGATAAAAATTAAAAAAAATATAGACTCGGCCTCTGTATTCATAATAATGACTATTTCCATGAGATTTTCCAAAAAATATTTAATTCACAGATTCGATTCAGTTAGAATTGATTTATGTGTATAGATGATAAGTAAATAAATGTTATATACTCGTAATGTCCCAACATATATATTTTTTATTATAATATATAATAAAAATACATAAGCTAATAATATGGTATATCTCTTTCAAGGGGAAGAGAATTAACGTTTAAAACTACAAAAGTATATTAGTACAATTTTTATTATTCATATTTTATTCTCAAAAATTGTGTTTTAATTTAACTAATACATATGTTTACGAGTATACATATATAAAATTTTTCGTATTCTTTAATGAAAATTTTAAACAGTCTGTCAAAGGGTAGCCATCACGAAGCAACGTAATCATTATTTTTAATAGCTATACGGATATTTTTTAGGATTCATAACTCTAGTTACGGTACTCTAACTTTTATGTCACTTGATAACAGAATAACATACGTTCTAACACTATCACTCCGTCCTCACTTCAAAAATAAAATGCGCTCGTAGAATTTTTGGCGTCACATTTTTATAAATAGACGTAGAGTATAAAAAATATTTCATTTAGCTTTCGGCACTATAAATCATAATTATACACACGTAATACGTAAGCTATTTTTGGTAAATTAGTATAAATATGTAGTTTACATGATACGTGGGTAATGTGAAATCTAAAATAAGCTTTTTGAAAAAGTCTAATTGAATAAGATTTTCAATTTCCAGTCTTAATTTAAATCCAATCTTAATCTAAATTTACGAGTAGGTACATAATAATAGCTCAAAAGTGTAATATAATAATTTCTTCTAAAGAACAATCAGCTGGTATAGTTTTCATATTTACTCGAGTTTAAAGAAAAAATTAATATACCCACGTTTCTTTGAAATAGAAAAATCTTTATATCTTAAATGGAAATATGATCTATAAACTTAATTACGTACAGCATCAAAACCGCGAATTCAGCAGAGGCATACGTACTCAAGCGGGTATTACGTGCCAAGTCATTTGAATAAACCTACCAAATACAGTTAATTA